AGAGAGAGAGAGAGAGAGAGAGAGAGAGAGAGAGAGAGAGAGAGAGACAAAGAGAGAGAGACAAAGAGAGAGAGACAAAGAGAGAGAAAAAGGTAAGCCTTAAAATAATAATTAAACATATTGTGCATAACTTGTCTACGATAAAGAGGATGATAACGTGTTTGTTCGTACTTTTGTTATTCTTCGTGATTAAATATTGCAAAATTAAAGATGAACAAGAGGAAAAGAAGGAAACACAGAAAGAAAGAGAAAAAAAGAGAAAGAGAGGCAAGTAAGCTTAAAATAATATAATTAAACTTATATTATGCGTTACTCGTCTATGATGAAGATGATGATGGCGTGTTTGTTTGTAATTCCTTAATTCTTTGCGATTAGATATTGCAAAGTTAAAGATGAACAAGAGAAAAAGAAGAAGACAGAAAAAGAAAGAGAGAAAAAGAGAAAAAAGGAAGAGAGAGAAAGAGAGGCAGGTAAGCCTTAGAATAATAATTAAACTTATATTGTGCGTAACTCGTCTACGATGAAGATAGTATATCATAACGTGTGTGTTCGTAATTTCTTCGTTCTCCATGATTGGGAAATGACCATGTTAAAGATGACAACTAAGAGAAAAAGAAGAAGAGTTGAGAGAGACAGAAAGAAAGAAAAAGAAAGAAACATAGAGAACAAGAGAGAACAAGAGACAATAAGAGAGAACAAGAAAGAGAGAGAGGCGAGGCCGGGGGGAGTTAAGAATTTACTTTCGTAATTAAAAAGATAATAGGTATGTTAAAAATTTTGTATATAAAAATTGTACGTATTTTTTTTCGAGGCTTTTAATTAATTATTAAAAGTGTATTTATATCGTTGCAAAAAACATGAAATTAAGGGGATCCTGCAGCCGTATGATTTACCGACATTATTAGATGGATCTTTTAATTGGCTTTATAGAATTGCAAAAATCTTTTATAGAATTAAAGTTCGCACAAAAATCTAGGGTGCAAAACGCGATTTTATATCAAAAAAAGCACCAAAAAATTAAAAATATTACTTATTGGGGCACATACACAGCTGTCACCTGACGACAATATTTGCTTAAAACAAAAATTCTACAGTTTATAGGTACATCATGTTTATCATCCACCCTTGGGAAAACATGTAGAAATAATATCGTGTAAGTAGAAGTAAGATTCAATGCGTACAAAAAAAGATCCATCTAATAATTATTTTAGTAATGCAAATACGGATGCAGGATGACAAGAAGAGCAGCAACAGTAGTTGCCGGATCTTGCGTAAGATAACGAGCAATCGAAAAAAGGACAGATGTCATTTCGTTAGACAAAGACAGATATAGGGAAAACAAAATTAGAAAGGTTGACATTATCGACATCGAGGAAGTTCGCCAGCCACTGCAGGATCCCCTAATTTAAATAAAGATTTTTCTGTACAAAGTCATTTGAAAGTCATGTTGTTACACGGAAAAAAAGAAGTTGTAAAATAGGGACAACTAACATATTTTGT